GTTCTGCCTGCTGTATGGGAAAGACACATAGGCTGCACTCCCCTCAGTCACAAACTCAATATCACTCTCCTCTTGAATTAATTTTCAGTGACCTATGGGGTCCTGCCCCAGTCAAATCCTCCCAAAACTTTACCTACTACATCACCTTTGTTGATGCATACACTAGATTTACTTGGATATATTTGCTCAAAAATATCTTTAAACAATTCAAAGTCATGGCTGAATTACAATTTGGATTTCCTATTAAATCTGTCCAAACTGATTGGGGTGGTGAATTTCACCCATTTACAAAGTTTCTTTCTGATCTTGGCATTATTCATCGTCTAATTTTCCCTCGCATTGATCACCAAAATGGTGTAGTGGGGAGGAAGCATAGACACATTGTTGATCTTGGTTTAACCCTCTTGAGTCATGCCTTTTTACCTCTCAAATTTTGGGATCATGCCTTTTTAACTGATGTCTACCTAATAAATAGGTTACCAACCATGTCTCTCAATCAACATATACCATATGCTGTCCTTTTCAATCAAAATCCTGACTATAAATTCCTTAAAGTCTTTGGGTGTGCTTGTTTTCCTCTCCTTCGCCCATACAACTCTCAAAAATTTGACTTTAGATCCCATGAGTGCCTTTTTCTAGGGTATTCTATAGCTCACAAAGGTTACAAATGTTTCTCTCCCCTCATCAACCATTCCATCCTCCTCCTCATCTAAAGTAACCCTTAACACACAAGCTCTCCCTAATGTTTTTCCCGTTCCTACTGCTTCCACTACCTTACACTCCTCTTCTTCTTCTCAATCCAATTCCAGCCACACACCTACTGCCTCTGTGTCAGCCACCCCTATAACACAAACAACCAACACTAATCCTACTCTTTCACCCTCTTCAAATGCCAACAACTAGCCTACTACTACCACTTCACCATCCTCCTCCTCTATTTCTGCTCCTAGGGATACTAACCTTCAACCTCTCTCCACCAATACTCATCCTATGACTACTAGAACTAAAAATTTCCTTGACAATTCCAGCCATCTATTGTTACAACCAGAGCATAATTGATATGACTCATAACCCTGTTCTTCATGCAAGAACAAAACATATGGAAATTGACCTCTTTTTTGTAAGAGAAAATGTCCTTAATAAGTCTCTCACTGTCTGCCACATTCCTAGTGCTGACCAGAAGGCCAACATCTTCACCAAGCCTCTCTCAAGTTCAAGATTTATGGAGCTTAGCAGCAAGCTTAACCTGTCTTCCTCAAGTCAGCCTTTGCAGCCACCTTGAGCTTGTGGGAGAGTATTAGAGTTATATCTTAGGATATGAAAAACCAGCACTATAGAATAATTAAGGTTAGCCTTAATTTAATAGAATAAGAAAAGTCATCCTTAACTGTAGAGCTTGAATGATTCAACTCTTAAATGTTCAACTCCTCTTGTATAAATAGAGCATCATGCTCTATTCCAATTAAAATATAATAATAGCATTAGTTTCTCTCTTTTCTCTTTTAGCTTTCTCTCTCTTCTCTCTCATATCTCATTGTAATAGTAACCGACCCCCTTACCCAGATCTCTATTTATTCGTTCTTGTTTTAGAACTTGTTTAAGTTTTGTTCGCTCTTTTTCCTTTTCTTTTTGGATAAAATAAAAGTGCGGTGGCGACTCTTGCGTTTTTGAGTTAAGTTAATCAATAACTTACACTCACAAAGTTTCCCGCTACACCGAGCACATGCTTGCATTCAAACACATCATGTGTTATGATCAAGGCACCTTACAATATGGTTTACATCTCTATCCTTCTTCTATCGAGAAACTTGTTTCCTACATAGATGTTAATTGAGGGTGGATGTCTCGAAATTCGTCGATCTACCTATGGTTATTGTGTTTTTCTTGGTGATAATCTAATTTCATAGTCTTCCAAGAGACAACCCACACTTTCTTATTCTAGTGTAGAAGCTAGGTACCGGAACATTGCTAATATGGTTCCAGAATCATGTTGGCTCCACAGTCTTCTCTTGGAGCTTCATTTTCCCATTTCTTAGGCTACTTTGGTGAACTCTTACAATGTTAGTACTATCTACCTATCCGGAAACCCTGTCTAACATCAGCCGACTAAACACATTGAGATGTACATTCACTTTGTTCGGGAGAAGGCCACCCATGGTCAGGCCTGCATCCTTCATGTTCTTTTTTGACACTAGATTGTTGGTATCTTCGCCAAAGGTCTTCTTAGAGTTCTTTTTGATGATTTTTGGACCAATCTAAACTTTCGTTTACCTCTCGCTTCGGCTGAGGAGGTGTGATAGAGCTATTTGATATTCTATCATTATTGTGTAATCAATCTACAATCATTAGTTATTTGTAGTTAGGCTCCTATTAAGGAAATTAGGTCAACACTAATGTACTATATACCCTTTCCAGTAATGAAAAACACATAAGAAAATTCAACAATATTACAACTTTTAAATAAAATCATAGACTAATTATTATATTTTTAATAATTCAAACATTATATCAATCAACGATATAAGAATAAGAACTTAGAGATTTATCATATCATGGTCCGCAAAATAAATCAATTAAAATCGACTGTTAAATCCATGATCAATAAATTAAGAAGGTTTTAACTAATTAATTAAACAAAAATAGAGGTGTTACACACTTAATCAACTTAAAAGCAAGAACAGTTGCCAAGGGCTACCAACAACAATTTGGATTTGACTTCAATGATACCTTTTCACCAGATGTCAAACCAACAACCAATCGATTCATCTTAACTTTGGCACTCACATACAAGTGAGAATTACAACAAAATTATGTCAACAATTTGTTTCTCAATGGCTCTTTGCAAGAAGATATCACATGACTTACCTCATGGGTTTGAAAAGCAGGATCTGCCCTTGTGTGCAAGCTTCATAAAGCGTTATATGGTTCCAAACAGGCACTTCGTGCATGGTATAAAAACTCACTCAAGCTTTTATTCACGTTGGATTCTCACAGATCAAGTGTGACCGCTCTTTGTTTATTTACTCACATAAGAGTGTCACTTTCTATTCATTGGTTTATGTGGATGGCAATATTTTAATTACCAACTCTTCTTTCATGTTGGTTCATAGATTCATTGATTCTCTTCATGCTAAGTTTGTTCTCAAGAATTTAGGATATCCTGAGTATTTCTTGGGCATTAAAATAAAACGACTGTCTACTGGGTGTCTTCTTCTAACACAATCCAAGTACATTCATGACCTCCTGAATCATTCCAACATGAGCAATGTTAATGGTGTCACCCCACCTATGTTGACTGGTTACAAGTTAAGCCGACATGGTGCCACACTTCTCTCTAGCCTCATCACTACCGATCCATGGTTGAAGCACTTCAATATCTAACTCTTACACGACCTGATATTTCCTTTAGTGTCAATAAGGTGTGCCAATTCATGGCTTCACCTCTACAAACACATTGGTTTACAATCAAACGTATTTTGCGCTACATGAGTGACACCATTCATCATGGCTTCCTACATCACCAAATCCTTCTTCGAGTAAACTCTCTCTTCGTTCCTATAGTGACTCTAATTGGGCAAGTGATTCTGATGATTGTCGTTCCACATCTGGATCGTGCATCTTTGTTGGTTTCAATCTTGTGTTATAGAGTTCTGAGAAACAATAGTTGGTTGGAAAGTCGAGTACTAAGGCGGAATATCGTGCCTTAGCACACATTATCTTTGAATTACTATGGCTCGAGTCTCTACTTAAAGAACTTAGCGTGTCATTCTTTCCTCAAACACTTATATGCGACAACCTTAGTGCAATCCTTCTCCCGCACTAACCTATTCTCCATGCACACACCAAACACATGGAGCTTGATATTCATTTTGTACGTGAAAAAGGTGATTGTCAAGCACATGAAGATACAACATGTTCCTATCTCTCTTTAGGTTGCTGATACACTCACAAAGCCACTTGGTACATAGGCGTTTTAAGAGTTGCGCACCAAACTCAAAGTCGTGTGATTCAACCCTCCTTGAGGTTGTTGAGAGTAATAGAGTGTTTGAGGTTGTTGAGAGTAATAGAGTGTAGTGCACCATATGACATAACATACATGAAACTCTTGTAAGCATGACAATATGCATGAAACTCATGAAAGCCATGAATATATGAAACACTCATCATGTATATGTGTAGGAATCAAACATGCCTGAAAATATATATATATATATATATATATATATATATATATATATATATATATATATATATATATATATATATATATATATATATATATATATATATATATATATATATATATATTAATATATGCTTTTTCAGTATAAACTAATTATTATATTTTTAATAATTCAAACAGTATATCAATCAAAGATAAAAGAATAAAAATTTAAAGATTTATCATATCATGGTCACACAAAATAAATCAAATCCTCTGTTCAATCCATAATCAAAGAATTAAAAATTAAAAATTCTAACTAATTAATTAAACAAAAATAAAAATATTACACACTTAATCAACTTAAATTGTCACGCGACACGCACTATCATCCTCCATCACTAATTAACTATAAAGATAAATATCTAGTTAATTTGAAAAAAAATCTATAGTCAATTTTTTTAAAGTACTAAAAACAAAATTTGATATATTTAAAAGACTTGAAAAAAAATTAAAATTCTTAAAAATTTCATGTTTTGACGGGAGAAAATTTTAACTCATTAAAAGTCCATTGAAATTTAATTTATTCAAGAAATGATTGAAATTGAAATATATAGTAGTAGTATAGTCTTATGGATAAAAACATTGATTAACTATTGAGATAAACAGTCCTATAATGAAGCAAAGATATGTAATAAGTGGATGACACAAATGTTATAATCTTATAATCCATAGAGTCGTTGAGAATAAGAGTTAATCCAAGTATTTTGATATTTGGACGAAAAGGGAAAAAAATGAATGATGTTGCAGAGTGTGCAATTGTTGTAATAAATGATAAATGGAGTGGCCTGTGACCTGTCTTTCTCTTAAAATAAAAGATGACTCCCGCCAACACTTTTCATTTCCTTCTCCAGCCTCTCTTTTTTTGAACACCAGACTCTCCTCTCTTCTTTCCGCGTTTCCAACTTTTAAAGATCGGAGAACCATGAGCGCCGTCAACATCACCAACGTCACCGTCCTCGATAACCCTGCTTCCTTTCTCGCTCCTTTTCAGTTCGAGATTTCCTACGAGTGCTTAGCCGCTCTCAAAGATGGTATGCTTCTCTTTTAGGGTTTCGTTTCTCATTACCTAATTCAACTATGCTTTAGGGTTTTTAGGCTTTTTCTTTTCAGATCTTGTTGCTGCATACCATACCCACTTTGACCTAATTTTACTAGTTCTAGATTATGCTTTCTCAGTTTTGTTAACATATATGCTGCTATAGATTTGGAATGGAAGCTCATTTACGTTGGATCTGCTGAGGATGAGACTTATGACCAGTTATTAGAGAGTGTTCTGGTTGGTCCTGTCAATGTTGGAAACTATCGATTTGTTTTACAGGCAAGTTTTATCGATGGAATTTTGTGTTTTTTTGTGTTGCAACTTGCAATTTCATATGATTTGAACCTATCACTTATGTTTTGATACCAGGCGGATCCACCGGACCCGACGAAGATTCGTGAAGAAGATATAATTGGGGTTACTGTGCTGCTACTGACTTGCTCTTATTTGGGTCAAGAGTTTATTCGGGTTGGTTATTATGTTAACAATGACTATGATGATGAGCAGCTGAGGGAGGAACCTCCAACCAAGGTTCTGACTGATAGGGTTCAGAGGAACATTTTATCTGATAAACCTAGGGTTACGAAGTTCCCGATCAATTTCCACCCTGAGAACACTGAAATTGAAGAGCAACCCGTTCCGTCAGACCAACAGCCTGAAACTGTTGAAGATCCACAGGCTATAGGTGAATGCGATCCCCTAAATGAGGGGGACAAAAAAGAGGATTCTTAGGATTTTTTGTAGGTATACAGGCCTTTCAATTCCCCAATGTTCAACTTTACATTTTACCTGTGTGGATTAAGACGCTTTTTCTGAAATCTCTTATGGAGGAAGTTGATGATATGATTCATGAGTTCTTTTGGAAGTAGGAGGAGTCTTTGAATTACTAGGTTCAAGATGCTTGTAGTGTGTGAAAACCAGTTACTGTCCACAAAGCTTTGCATACAAATCCATTTTCATTAGTTCCTGTGTTTCACTATATGAGCCATGAAGCTCTGCTGTAATTTTTAGCTTTTATATTCAGTTTGCCTGAGTTATTTCTAGCTTATTTTACAAAGCTTCTCAAGATAGCTTATTGAAATGGTTTATTTAGATCTTTTTCTCTCGAATCTTCTTCCATCTTCAAGTTTTGTTTATAAAATGAAAAAAATGCTGAGAATGGAAATGGAATTTTTGTGTTAATATCTTTTAGTTTTCTAATGTTTTTTTACAAGACGGGTTTTCTAAGAGCCAGTGTTATCAAATAGTGTGCCATGTCCGCTTTGGCGGACATACATGGCGGTTTTTGAGCTCATTGCAATGGTAAATATTGGTTTTTCTGCCATAATCTGCTATAATGGCTCCACAAGGTGGACGGTTTTGTAGAATTTTGCCTCTCTGTCATGGACTGCCATCAACAACACTGCTAAGAGCTCTAACATTCATGCTAGTTGATCTGGACTGAACCTAGCAAGCCTCAATCTAGTTGCAAATCTTCTATATGGCAGATGGCAGATAGTAGCAATAAAAATGTTTTTTTTTGTTGGTTTGAGATGCTTAAGTAATAATGGCAAGTATCAGACAGAATAACAAGATAGCAAAATTGTTTAGCATCAAGACCAAACTAACTAGAGTCTTGAACCAATTTTTTTTGGTAGGCTAGGATTTCTCTCAAGTGATAAAATAGGTGCTAGATAATTCTTGTATTAGGAATGAGGTACTCATTTCTCTCTAACACCGGAAAGAAAGGATGCTAGAGCATTGGTTAGTTTTTATTTCCTCTTCTCTTTTGATGCTTACGTAAGTACCATTTTATTATATTAAGAAAAATAAAATACATGAATTGCATCGAAAAATAATAGAAGACATATATGGAAGTCAAAGACCGGCAGGAAAAGACAAGAGAGTTGTCGTGGTGGGAAGAAAGACAATAGCATAGATAGCAACGATACTTGACTATATATTTTGTTACATTGCATGGATATCATTATCCCAGCATTGGAATTTCTTGTAAACTCCGATTAGAAACGGCAAAAGTAAAGTACTGGAATTTTATTGGTGCAAGAAGAGAGAGATAGAGATTGAGAAAATATGAAAATACCTAGCCCTACACGGAAGCAATCTGTTGGGGATCGTCACATGATCTCACCCACTCGCCACAATATGTCCCGTTCAGCGCGGAGGAGGAAAAACACTGGTCATTGGTGGTTGTCATCGATATCATGGAGGATGAAGAAGGAGGCTGACTCATATGACTTGACTCCTCAAACTCACCTCTCTTCCAATAGTCCCTACTACAAGGGTCTCACTGATCAATCTCTTGCTATCACTCCGACCTCTCATGAAGAAAACTACGAACACGACAGCACTGTCTCGCCATCACTCCGGCCTCTCCTCCTTTCATCATCCCCCATCAGTAGTCCTTACTACAAAGGTCTTACGGATTATTCTCTTGTCATCGATGCTTCTTGGACTGCTACTCCTCATCCAATTCCTCATCACAGTTCATCTCTTTCTTGTTACCATGACTCAAGTCCATACTATAGGGGTCTTATTGCTCTTCCTGTCCCTACCTCCCCCTCCTCTCTCTACTCCCTCAACATCAATTTCAATACCTCCACTACCACGTCCACCCAACCATCAACTCGTGATTTTGTTGTCTTTTTAAGTCCAGAAGATCAATCACTCATGGTGACAGAGCCGGAAGCAACTTTAAACGAGGCAATGGTGTTGATCCATCCCGGTATCCAGGGGAAGCCTTTAAGGGTTAATGATCATTCGTCATCACAAGCAACTCTCGAGGAGATGGATGATGATGATGATGATGATGATGATGATGATAATGATGATGACGACAATGATGATGATAACGATGATGACGACGAAATTGAAGGTGAGAAGCCTTTGAGGGTTAATAACGAATCGGAAACAATTTTGGAAGATGTTGTGTTGTTGGTTGAAGAGCATACTAGGAAGCCTTTGAGGGAGGGAGTAACATCAGATTCGGAGACAGTATTGTTACAGCAAAAAAATGCTGAGAAATCAGATATAGGTTTGGAGGAGATGGATTTGGTGATTGAACAAGAGAAACCATTGAGAGAGAGTGACGTATCACAGGCTAGGAATGAGAAAACAGATTCAAAAGAGGAACTGGGAGACTTTTGGTTGGGTGGTCAAAAGACCGTTTCTGAACAAACAGTGTCATTGGAATTACCTTGTGAGCACATGTTGAAGCACACAGCTGAAGAAGGAAATCTATATGAGTATCTGTGGGCAACCAAATACCAGCCTAAGAAATTGGGAGAATTCATCTGCAACAAAGCTAGAGCACTTGAGCTGAAAGCATTGGTGAGATTTTTCTATTGATTACAAGATTTCAACAGAGATCAAAATTGTTAAGATTTTGTTTGTATAATTGCTACCTATGTAGGTAAAAGGGGGATGTGGCTGTAATCATTTTATATTCGAAGGACCCCCGAATGTAGGAAAGAGATCCATGATACGGGCTATGCTTCGAGAGGTATTTGGCGATGACGGAGTGCAGGTATATTCATTCGTCATTCATATCCTACTATTTCTCGCGTGTTTCTACAATGATATTTTTACTTTGCTACGGAATCAGGTCACAGAAGAATACAAAGACTTCAGCTTGAAGGTAATGCCTACTTTTACTACTATTAGCATCACTTCCAATTGCATCTTCTCTTATACGGCACTATTGGTAACTCGAGCTACTTAGCTATAAAACATATTTCAGATTTCTCTCTCCTCTCTTTCATGTATTTTTAGATGTAAACCTTAGTATTACCCAAGTTAGGATCGGTAAGTTACCATATAAGTTGTTAACAATATCATGAAAGGAAATGTCTTTAAATATTGCATGTCTCTCTCCTTTGACATGGATAGGGAGAAATGGTCGAAAATCTCCAGCTGCGCATGCAGAAATCCCTCCATCATGTTGAGGTAAATCTCTCGGAAGCAAAGGGATATGAAAAACATGTGATTGTTGAGCTATTCAAGGAAACATATGGAAAGGTGATAAATAGCTCATTGCCTTGTAGCCCCGAAAACTGTCAAGGTACGCACTCTAACGCTAAAGCCGGTGCTGTTGTTTTGTATGTACTAATCAAGCAATTAATATGTTTAACTGTTTATTACATATCTCAACAAACAAACAAACAAAAGCAATCATTTTGTACGAGGCGGAGAAGCTATCTTTAGAATCGGTGTTGTATATAAAGTGGATGGTAGAAAAGTATAAAGGGTGTAATAAGCTGTTCTTTTGTTGCTCTGATGAATCAAGGCTACAACCAATCCAATCACATTGCACTACTGTCCGCCTCTCATCGCCATCAACTCAACAGGTCACTCAGCATTTTCGATCACAATTTCAAACTCTATTCAATTTCTGTTGTCAATCGTATCACTTATAATCTCGTCATCTAGTAATTACATTTTTGCATCAACATCTTCCTATCCTTTTGAATAAACAGATTGTTAAGATTTTGGAATATATTGTACAAGAAGAAGGAATAAAATTATCACGCGAGTCAATCAAGAAGATAATTTTGAGGTCCAAAAACAATCTCCGTCAAGCCATTCGTTCATTGGAGGCCACTTACAGACACAAGTGAGTCATCATTTACAGATATTCACAATGTTAACAATGTTAACAATATACTCAAATGATTTCGCTTGCAGGAATGCCCTCAATGACGATGATTTAATTTTAACCGGGTGGGAGTACGATATTCTGAATATTGCTAAAAATATAATCAGTGAGCAGAGTCCACGACAGTAAGTAAATTGCACCTTCTTGTTCTATCTCTCGAATGCTTCGCATGTAACCATTGTTTCATGCATAATAACTGTAAAATTATAGGTTGTACGCCATTCGAAGAAAGCTTCAAAGTCTTATGATTCACGATGTTCCTCCTGACTTCATTTACAAGGTAATACATATTATTAGCTGCATGTTTTTTATAATTCTAACAATGATTTCTTTATTTTTAAGACGTTATCTTTGTTCGCGCAGTCTTTGGTTGCACACTTAACAAGTCTAGTTGATGATTCACTGCGCTCAGAGTTTGCCAAACTTCACAAGGAGTACACTGTAAACTCTCAAACTGTTTCGTCTAATTTTAAGTTTCTGATTGATATAGCGAACCATGTGAATTGATTTTATTTCATTTCAGAAAGGTAGTGAAATGAAATTCGAAAGTGCGAAGCATTATGCTGAAAACAAACCAGGAGGATCTGATGAAAAGAACAGCGAAATAACAAAAAAGAATGCAATGAACTACTTAAAAGTTGAAGGTAATATTTTTTAGTTTGCACGTAGTTGAAATGAATATCATATCATTGTTTCATATTTTCTGGATTTTTCATTTATTGTTACAGAATTCATAGCAAAATTCATGAGCTGGTACAAGAATTTGTCTAAGAGTAATGATCACATGCAAGTTATTGCTGGAGTTTAACTACGCTTTCGTGTTTCGAATATCAATCCACTTTGTAAATAAAAGCACACAGACATTTTGTGTTTTGGAAACGATTGTCAAATAAGATGTATGATGCATATATACTGCACCCAGTATTCTGATTTTATGTATTTGGATTGCCATAACAAATTATGATATGTTAAAAAAAGCAATAATATTGAAACTCTAATTTATTTGTTGTGAAGCAGTTCAAGAGATTAATTGCTAAAAATAGTTTTCTTAGAGTCAAAGCTACTTTTTATGCATATTTCACACTGTCTTTATCAAATCTTTTATTTATATAACTATATGTCGGATCTATTTATCTTTTTAAATAATGGGAGAGGCACGATGATTGGCATGAGTATTTATTGTGGAGGTTCATCTAATCACTTTATTGAAGACGATGATGAGAGTTGATCCATACATACACGTGTCAAGCACAATCTTAACCTTGTCATTGGAATACTCTAGTGGTATTGGTCGTAATTACGTAATATATTTTGTGTACTTCTTGAACCTAAAGTCTATTTCAAAGACTATTTTTCTGTTTTACAGTTTTACATGTTTTTCCTATTTTAATAAATCTAGATAGCAATTTCTATTGTATTTTAGAAATCTTCACATTTTAAAGCCGCACATAGAAGAAAACAAAAACCTGAATTTCGGAACTACCCACCGAAACATATCAATATCAATAGTTGAATTGCATGACCACTATAAAAAAACGAAAAAATAACTCAATATATATTCTAGGCAACGAATATTTACATATTCAACCTTACACATTAATATTTTATAAATATAATGTTTTTAAATATGTTATTACTTTTTATAATAATACTTTTTATTTAAAGTATTACTTTTTACGGTTATGAATATTATTACATTCACAATACATATCTTGTCATACTTGAATATCAGATGACGATATGTGTGCCACCACAAAAACACAGTTGCCTTAGATTTCAGATGATTATGAAACCACTGCAATATGAATCAAAATCATGCGGCTCTAAATTTATAAAAAAGAAACGCAAAGCAAAAGTGAGTTTAAACGTCCTAAGAAAAATAGTTTTGAAAATGATTTTAGTAAGTGATTAGAAATGAATTGAAATCGATGGTTAAAGATGATGGATACAAATAGTAACGCCAAGGGTGAAAATTGAATCACAAAGGGGTGCGAATTCAAATGTAATGATATGAACTCAAGCACAAGGCATAAATCAAACGCCACAAAATCCGAATATACATACAAGCATTCAAAAGTGATAAAAGTACAAAAATGCAAGAGCATACACAATATTTACATCACACTTCCATAACAAATAAATCGAAAGAAAAAAAAGTAAAGTGAAAAGAAAAGTGCACAAATTATAATAATTATGCAAAGATGCGAATCGAAGTCGCGTATGCGAAGACGTGAAAACTCTACCACAAACAATTAAATTTGATTTAAACATAACGACATTAGATCGTTGTTCTTAACATAAATTGAAAAAGAAAAATCAAATTACTACTGCATAAGCGGTCATCGCAAGTCAAGTTAAGAAACAACAATATAATAAAATGAAACTAAAGCACAATGTTGCAAATCGAAAGCGAATTGGTAATCACACAAAAAGCGGATTGCCACTAGGCTAAACCATCAGACGCGTGTACAAAATCGAAACGCAAAATATTCAATTAAAGAAAATCACACAAAAACCGATAAAATTAACTATTAGCTTGCTACACTTAACGTGATCGTCGCAATATGAATCATAATCACGCGGCTCTAAATTTATAAAAAAGAAACGCAAAGCAAAAGTGAGTTTAAACGTGCTAAGCAAAATAGTTTTGAAAATGATTTTGGTAAGTGATTAGAAATGAATTGAAATCAATGATTAAAGATGATGGATACAAATAGTAACGCCAAGGGTGCAAATTGAATCGCAAAGGGGTGTGAATTCAAATGCAGCGATATGAACTCAAGCACAAGGCGTAAATCAAACACCACAAGATCTGAATATACATACAAGCATTCAACAGTGATAAAAGTACAAAAATGCAAGAGCATACACAATATTTACATCACACTTCCATAACAAATAAATCGAGAAGAAGAAAAAAAGTAAAGTGAAAAGAAAAGTGCACAAATTATAATGATGATGCAAAAACGCGAATCAAATTCGCGTACGCGAAGACGTGAAAACTCTACCACAAGCAATTAAATTTGGTTTAAACATAATGACATTAGATCATTGTTCTTAACATAAATTGAAAAAAAAAAAACAAATTGCTACTGCATAAGCGGTCATCGTAAGTCAAGATAAGAAACAACAATATAATAAAATCAAATTAAAGCACAAAGTTGCAAATCAAAAGCGAGTTGATAATCACACAAAGAGCGGATTGCCACTAAGCTAAACCATCACACGTGTGTACAAAATTGAAACTCAAAATATTCAATTAAAATCGCACAGAAACCGATGAAATTAACTATTAGCTTGCTACACTTAACGTGATCGTCGCAATATGAATCAAAATCATGCGGCTCTAAATTTATAAAAAGGAAACGCAGAACAAAAGTGAGTTTAAACGTGCTAAGCAAAAAAGCCAACAATATCGCTAACGCAAACATGCGATCATCGCAATCTGATCGAACTAACACAAATGTCACGCATCATGCACACATATATGCAAATTAAGTATCGACATGATTCGATCTGAATAACATAATCAAAACATTATATATATATATATATATATATATATATATATATATATATATATATATATATATATATATAGATAGATAGATAGATAGATAGATAGATAAAGAGATAGATAGATAGATAGATAGAGAGAGAGAGAGAGAGAGAGAGAGAGGAAGAAATAGCCACAAACAAACCCAAGACCATAGTCCTAAAATTATATGCAAAACCAAACATATATAAGAAATAGTAAAAAAAAACGCTTAGAAAAATTCTAAAAGAAAGAAACAAAAAAGTATACCAGAAATTAACACGAAACAATTAAGAAAATTATATAATGAAGAAACGGCAATGTATACACAAGGACATGGTTCGAAACAAGAGAAGAAAACAAACATGCTACCGATTTCACCTGCGACCGCGTATGTTTTGATCGGTTCCCTATGTCTCTCTCAACATCACTAATATATATACATGTTATTTTGGTTTTTTTTCTTCATAATTTTAAAAATCCATAAATGCCCTTAGTATTTATTTTAGAGACAATGATAAAAAATGTTAATTAAAACTAAATAAAATTAAACACTAAATAATAATTAAAATTAAAAAAATTAAAAAAAATTAATAATTATATTTATTTTTTAAAAATGCTTTGACAAAAATGTAAAAATAAACAGACTCAAAATAAATAAATGTCGGGTGCAAAAGTGCTCAAAAAAATAAACTGAATGCACCAAAATAATCAGCACGAAATAAACATCTTAGAAAAACACAATATTTGATTTAATTTTAAAATAAATTTTGACCAGTTAAAAGGCTCAGACTAATCAAAATGCGACTGAAATAATAGTCGAAAATTAAAACGAGCACGCCAGTGTCGCAGTGAAAACCGGATACCAAACTATTGATTAGTTTGAATCTTTAATTCATTTTGCAACCGAACTTTAAATTTTCCAAAGGAAGGGAAAAAGATCGAACTACCCACAATGCAATGCAAATGCAAGCTAGAGAGTTATAGGTTCGGGGGTTGGTTAAACTTATGGAAGGTGCTAGCATCCTAAGTTTCTGTAGTACCCTACAGGAATCTCTTGTTTTATGTTTGTTTATTGCTAGGATTTATCTGCTTAAGGATGAAAGACCTAGGGGTTTATTTCTAAGTATACTCGATAAGATATCACATCTTATGCCTACATATCTTTACGGGAGTAGAATCAGAGTATCTGTAGTTCTCCTAAAGGGTTTGAGGAGTTCTTTGACTGTGGTCAAAGTTCCTACGGTTTAGGGTAGTTGATTGATTGATTTTAGGATTAAAGATGAGTTGTCATTTTAAGAGAGATTACTTGATTTAACCACCACAACTTTGTAGGAAAATAGTCTTTGCATCGTCTTAAGAGAAGGGCTCAAGCACTCGGAATTTAATCGACAAGTACGCCTCTATCTCTCTTAAGGCAAAGTCCCTACGAATTGATTGAATTGTTATGGGGTAGGAGTTTTATCTCGCTTAAGATGATTAACATCTTATTCTCTAATGTGTTTGAAAAGTTTGATTTGAGTTGTTGAATTGTTTTCCTATGTTGTGAAATAAAAGACAAAGGTCCTTCCTATGGGGTAGGATCTATCTTAAAAAGATCAACTTGAATTGGATCAAGGATCATACGGGGAGAATGATGCAAATGAGATGAATACGCACAATTGTTTAGGTTATGCGCAGATTCTTCCTTTGGACGTTATGCAATGCAATAATATAAATATGATAAATGATAAATTACGGAAAATAAAGGCGAACAAGTGAATCCATACACAAACGCATGAAAGCGCTAAGTGAGTGTGTGAAAGTGTCCATGTGAATAATCGAGTGGAGACGCAAGCGTGCACGATTGATTTGATTATGATGTAAGATTGATTATTTAAAGGAGAGATGATTAATTCTCAAGAGATTGATTTTAGGAGAAGTTATAGTGGTTATTAGTGAGACTAATTTCAAGAAAAGTTATGTTCGATTCGTTTTAGTGTAGGTTTAATTTATTTTTAGATTTATCGATAATTAGATAAAAAGATTTCGATTAATATAACTTGGAGGAAAAGGTTTTATTAAGTATAACAGATTTCTAATTACCATAAAAAGGTTGTTATTGCTAGTCATTTTAAGAGTCATAAAGTGAATTTTATTTATTAACAAATGATGAGGGCTATTTTAAAAAGGCTTATTATTATTTATTTAGAAAAGGGGTTCTTAAAATAATTAAGGGATTTTATTCTATCTTATTAAAAGAGAAATGTTTATTATTTTCATAAAAGTTGTTA